AAAAAAAAAAAAAAAAAATATATATATATATATATATATAAATTCTGAAGTTGAAAAGTACAATAACTAAGATGAAAAAAATCACTAGAGAGGATCAGGATTAGATATGAATTAACAGAAGAAAAAGATCAGTTAAAAGATAGGTCAACTGAGGGACTTACTTCTCGGGTGGCACAGTGGTTAAGAATCTGCCTGCCAATCGAGGGGACACAGGTTTGATCCCTGGTCTGGGAAGATCCCACATGCCGAGGAACAACTAAGCTCGTGCGTTGCAACTACTGAAGCCCATGCGCTCTAGGGTCCACGTGCCACAACCACTGAGCCCACATGCTGCAACTACTGAAGCCCACGCACCTAGAGCCCATGCTCTGCAACAAGCCACCGCAATGAGAAACCCACGCACCGCAATGAAGAGTAGCCCTCCTTCCCTGGTGGCGCAGCGGTTGAGAATCTGCCTGCCAATGCAGGGGACATGGGTTTGAGCCCTGGTCTGGGAAGATCCCACATGCCGCGGAGCAACTGGGCCCGTGAGCCACAACTACTGAGCCTGCGCGTCTGGAGCCTGTGCTCCAAAACAAGAAAGGCCCCGACAGTGAGAGGCCCGTGCACCGTGATGAAGAATGGCCCCTGCTCGCCGCAACTAAAGAAAGCCCTCACGCAGAAACAAAGACCCAACACAGCCAAAGATAAATTAATTAATTAAAATAGTAGCCCTAGCTTGCTGCAACGAAGACACAACACAGCCGAAAATAAATTTAAAAAAAACCAACAACAACAAGAGATGCGTTTAAAAAAAAAAAGAAAAAGGTCAATTGAGATTATCCAATGTGAAAGACAGAAAAAGAATAAAGACTAGCCTTCAAAAACACAGGAGAAATTAAGACATTCCTAGATAAATAAAAAGACAGGATTTGTTGCTAGCAGCCCTGCCCTAAAAGAAATACTAAAGAGAGTACTCTGGGCAGAAGTGAAAAGACATGAAACAATAACTCAAATCCACATGAATAAATAAGAGCCTCAGGAGGATACCTGACTAAGTAGATAAAAAGACAGTGTATATGTATTTTTGTCAGTAACTCTTTTCTTCTCCTAAATGATTTTAACTATCAACTGCATAAGGCGATAATTACAAAACTGTGTTGGTGGGCTTATAAAATATAAAGATATAATCTGTGTGACAATAAAGCACAAAAGAGGGGGAAGAAATGTACCTAAACTGGAGTAAAGTTTTAGAACACCACTGAAATTAAGGTGGTATTAGTCCAAACTAAACTGTTCTAAGTTAAAACATTAAATTATAATCTCCAGGGGGCTTCCCTGGTAGCGCAGTGGTTGAGAATCTGCCTGCTAATGCAGGGGACATGGGTTTGAGTCCTGGTCTGGGAAGATCCCACATTCTGCGGAGCAACTAGGCCCGTGAGCCACAACTACTGAGCCTGCGCGTCTGGAGCCTGTGCTCAACAAGAGAGGCCGTGACAGTGAGAGGCCTGCGCACTGCGATGAAGAGTGGCCCCTGCTCGCCGCAACTGGAGAAAGCCCTCGCACAGAAACCAAGATCCAACACAGCCAAAAATAAATTAATTAATTAATTAATTAAAAAAAATTATAATCTCCAGGGAAACCACTAAGAAAATAACTTTTAAAGTATAAAAGGAACAAGAGAATTAAAAGAGTATACTAAAAAATATGTAATACAAAAGAAGGCAGTAATGGGGGAATAAAGGAACAAAAAAGACCCAAGGCATAAAAAAAGAACAGCAAAATGCAGACATAAATTCTATCTTATAAGTAACTGCATTAAATGTAAATGGTTTAAAGACTTCAATCAAAAGGAAGAGATCAATAGAATGGATTTTTTAAAAACATCTAACTATATACTACCTACAAGAGTTGCAAGCTAGATTCAAAGACACAAATAGATTGAAATAAAAAAGGAAGATACTGCACATACAATACCGAAAGAGAGCTGGAGTGTCTACACTAATATCTAACCAAGTTATAAACTTTAAGACATAAATTGTTACTAGAGACAAAGAAGGACATTTTACAATGAGAAAATGGTCAATTCATCAAGACAACAGATTATAAAGCATACCCACCTAACAGCAGAGCCCCAAAACATATAAAGCAGAAACTGACAGAACAGAAGGGAGAAATAAACAATACAGCAATAACAGAGCCTTCAATACCCCATTTCCAATAATGGATAGATCAGGCAGAAGATCAATAAGGAAATGGAAGATCTGAACAATAGTAAACCATATAGACTTAAAAAACATCTATAGGACACTCCACTCAACTGCACCAGAATATACATCCTTCTCAAAATAACACTGAGGGTAAGGGAAAATAGAAATATGGCACACACACAAGATTGACTACAAACTCATAATGGTTAAAATAATACCCGGGGAGGCGGTGCGCTAATATTCTATCAATGTTTGTATACATTTACATTTTTCCATAATAAATTAAACAAAGAAAGAATAAAAGAACAGGTATAACATTTAGTGGGACCTTGTGGAATCACAAAGAACTTGTGATTTCAAATACTGACCTAAAAGGACTATTTGATAATAGTTAAAATTTGGGTTAGACCATAAAGTTAATCATTTTCATATTTTCTACCTTCTTCAGCTTTTAAAAAACATAACATGGCAGCTAGGGGAAAAGTGGTTTGGAAGCAATAATTTTAGATTTTTCTGGAGGGAAAAGGGGTGTGAATCAGACACCAACAAATGTGTAATGAGTACTGACATAGAAAGATGCCTAAAATTGATTATAAGTGACAAGAAGCTGCAGAACAGTATGTTGTATATACTAATACACCAAACTGATATCAGCACTAACACTGATGGAAAGTAAACTGGGGTTATCTGTACTACTTTAATTTTTTATATTTATACCATTCCTTTTATATACATTGATACATATGTATGTATGTTTTTATTAATATTCTTCAATAAAAACAAAAAAGAAAGTTTCAGCCCAAGTTTACCTCCAACAGCCTCTTTCCTCTTGGCTGGACTTTCTTTGTGAAATGTTCAGAACCCAGAACAAGAAGTAAACAAAAAGAAAGAGCTCAACTGAGGAAAACCTTGGAGAAGGGAGAATCGTCCTGGGGCCTTTGGAGCATGACTCAGTCCCCCTTGCCTTCCTCTGACCTCCCTGTCATCAATGTCAGGGATCCATCAACCTGAGGCTTACAGCATGTCCTTCCAAATGTGAGGGGGAAGGAGAGCAGTGCCCCCACTAACCTCCGGATCTCGGCATCAGTGAATCCCTCCACGAGGTCCTTCCGCACACTTCGGGGGCGCCCTCTGCGCTTGGGCTTCTTGTCATCATCAGAGTCATCTGTCTCACTCTCAGAGGCAGAGGATCTCTGGGCCTGCCTCTTAGACTCAGTATCAGAGTCACTGTCATTTGTCTGAGCCTGAAAAGGCAAAGTCACATAAGAGATCTAAGGACTAAGACCAGCCCATCTTAACTCCTTAATACTCAGAACTTCCCATCGTATCAGGCAAGTCAATTTCCCTTTAAGAAAGAAGGAGGCAGATGGCATGTGATGAAAGAAGACCTGCTTGGGATAGTCACTCTGCCAGAGACATACTGTAATGTCATTAAGTACACTGGAATAAAAATATTTGGATTGTGGCTTCATGTTTACTTCCTTGGGCAAATTACTTTATTTCTTCATGCCTTTGTTTTCCATTTGTAAAATGGGGACAATAGCACCTATAATACAGGGTTTTCATACGAATTAAATGAGTCAGTAAGTGGAAAAGCACTAACTTATGCCTGACATACAGGGAATACTCAACGATAGCTACTATTAGCTAATACTGATTTACTAGGATCTCAGACAAACCTGAGTCTGTTATCTCCAACAACTGGATAATAAAACAGTCTATCTGCTTAAATGTTGTTGCAAAAATCAAATTAGATAGTGCCTATGATAGAGCTTTGTAAACTGAAGCACCTTTATATAATCTCTTACTAAGTATTTATGCCAAGTGCTATAAACAAACACTTAAAGGTGAAGAGGTTTGACTCTGCAAGTCAAAGGCCTTGCCAATTAGAACCAAACTCTTAGACTTACTGGTTCTAATCTCAAGGGCAAAATGTAAACTTCCGTCAAACTCAAATCCTGTCCAGCCATCTCACAAAGAGCCAATCTGCAAAGATCAAATAGCTCATAGGCATGCACATAAGCCTTGTGCATTCTTCCATTTCCCTCTGCTAGGTTTCCTATAACTCTGCCCTGGAACCCTCTACATCCGGACAACAACATAAGGTGAACAAAATAAGAAGTATCAATACTTCCATATCTTTCATGTTACTTGATCACCTTTTTAGTGGAACTCCGAATTCGAGGCAACATATAAATTTCTTCCAGCTCTTTCTGCCGCT